TCTTATATATGTTTTTGTTTTTTCCACAGCAAGGCTGTTTTATATTTATTATATGTTGTACAACTTACACGTGATTTAATTTTAATAACATGTTGAATGCACGGATTCAATCAGTCAGGTCATGTGTCGGAATAAGTGCACTGACCATGCCTCTTCCAGAGCTGCTGGCCCGAAACAAGACGCAGGTTCTGCCCCACTACTCCTACCTAAGAACTCCTGCAGCACCAGGAACGTGGAAGATTTATATTCTTTCCTGAGTGGTGGTTTCAAGTATTTTTATTGTCAATCTTAAGTTACTTGGGATGATTGAAGCATGAGTATGGATGTTGAAATGGCACCTGCGTGCAAGAAAAACTGGCCAGCGCGCTGGCACTGCCAGGGTCCTGATCCTGCGCCAGAAAACGCCAATTGGAACTTGGTGCTTTCCACATGTGTCAACTCACTTCAGTGAGTCGGCCCACCAGGGAGGATGTTCACTCTGGTCCACCGGAGTCATCGGGTCGACCCACCAGAGCGAAACCCACCAGGTCGCCTTGCTGGAAGCAGTGTTGTAAACCTCCCCTGGGACTAGGGCTCCAAGTACCTCCTCAGAAGGTATCTGGACCCTCTAAACCCACCCTAAACACCTTCTCAGAAGGTACTTGGAGCCCTACTGTAGGGTATAGAAAGAATGTGTTTTTTCCCTTGGCACGAGTTCAGGAACTTCCTTTACTTCACTGCGACCAACATATCATGAAAACTGGACTCACTTCTAGGGCTCCAGCATATAGTTCTCGGAATCCTGCCAGTTGCCTGCTACGAGGGGATGGGGATTCGTAGCTTTTATAAGCAGTAGAACATGGTCCGGTCCGCGATAGAAACGATAGAAACGAAACACGGCCCGTGCAGTGCATGTTGAATCCGAGAAACATTTCGGACTCTTCTATATATATATGGGCTCGGGGGCCCCAGCAGAAAAGGAACTGCTAACAAATCAATCATCTAACATTTGCTCATCTAGCGTCTGCTGCAAATAAATCATCATTGAAAATAAAACATGGGTGATTCCCTTTCATTTTCCCTTTTAAACTGAGCCATTCCTTTCACCTTTCCTCTAAAAAAACAAACAATAATCATGTTTAAGAGAAAAATGAAAGGTGTGAATCATGCTGTCAAGAACATTTAATGGATATCACTTCTGCTCATTACTGTGCAAAGGAAAATTAAAGGAATTAATCATGCTTAAAAGGAAAGTGAAAAAAGACACCATCAATACAATCATCAATCAACCGGTGTCTTTCTTGGTTATAATAGGTCTGTGAATCGAGCTCTGCGGCAATTTGGGTATCCATCTACTATGGAGCTCTGTTTTGCTCCTCCATAGTAGATCCTCTGGATCATGCTGGATCCATGGAAGAGATCAGCAGATGGGGACTTGGGATTGGGCACCTTGGACCCCAGTGGACTTTTGTGGACTGGGATGTTGAATGGTGCAACAACCGAACACAGCAACACCCTGTAACGACCAAACCGGAATGTTCGGCCAGATTCAGTGAGGCCATCAGACAGGGTGTTGTGTATTAGTTGTATAAAGGCTTCAATTAAGGGCAAACATAGACTCAAGCTCTTGTGCCAATGATTCTTTCCTATGTCCTGGCTCCGCTCCTTCCAATGCCTCCGCTCTCGCCGCTCTCGCCGCACCAGGCGGAGCTCGAAGACGCTGGTCACAGTGAAGGTTCCGATGGGACTTCGTCCGGGGGACAGCTTCCCGGTGACCACGCCGCAGGGTCAGGTGCAGGCGTGATCCTGGGGAGGAGAGGTGGAGGGGGCGAAGCCGCCCCGGCTGGTGAGAGGAAAAGACACCATCTTTTGGTCCAGAACAGTTTGGTTTTGTTCAGGTTCTCTGTTCGGAAAAAGACACTGGCCGTGCTGAAAGTGTTTGGAATCTCTATGCTTGTACAATTTGTTCGAGGAAACATAGGGCGAACCTAGAGCTTTTGAGTCTGATTCTGACGGGGTTTGGATGGTTCTCGATTTTGGAAAGATCAGAAGGACACGAGGCATACTGCTTACTACTGGGTTGGAGGCCATCGCTACTTCGAGGCCATCGCTATTCAGTTTGAGGGTTGAGATCCAGTACTTGCAGGGTAGTCCGACTGACCTTAGATGGATGGAGCCTTTGAAGAAAAATATCATAGGCTGTTTTGAGCTTGGAGTGTTCGAATCTAACTTCATCTAACCACCTCCAGTGCACTGATCCACTCGTCAACCGGCAGAGGAGAAGGGTGCTTTTAACCGTGTTAACGATATGTTGGAGTTCAGCGGTCCACCGCGAACACTCCCGATGGGATTCGGGAAACCGGACTCATTCCCGCAGTGTGGATAGATTTGGTTTCACTTTTTACAACACTTCGAAGCCTTCTGAGCTTCACCATTTGCCCATTGCCGTTGTTGATGGGAAGGTCCCAGGTGTTCCATGTTCCGACCGACGCGACCTTACGCAACGTCCTGGGAGGCGGTGGTGCCACATGGTGCTGTTGAAGGACAAGAAATACAGGTACCGGCCCCCCCCCGCGCCCTCGACCACACCGCTCGGCGTTCTGGGCTTTTGCGCCCACGGAACGGCTCGAAAAGCCCCACGAAGAGGTGGGTGATGTGACGGTGAGATGGTCAAGATCGTGTCGGTAAGGGCTGGTGTTTGAGATTTGCGGGCGGTCGGCAGGATTGCCGGGCACTGTGGACCCCAAAGCGAGGGTAGGCCGACCACCTCCAAAAAGAGCTGCCGAGGAGCCCAATTTGGTGTGCGTAGCTCTCACTCCATTTTGCGACACCCATGGGGGTGTCCGTTTCTGCACCTGGGAGCTCTCTCTCCTTTTTCCTTTCAGCAATTTCTGGTATGGGCCGGTGCCCAGTTTGGGGGGAGCCTGTGTGAACACAGACTCCCAGAGAAGAAATTCAACCACCTTTCAAGAAAAGGCGTGCAGGGTTGCTGGAATTCTTTCTTGTTTAATATTGTTTAATTATGTTTATACATTTTGGACTTGATGTTCTAGTAGACAACAACAGATAGAAAACGTAACCTTGCTCTCCCGAATCAGTACACCAGTCACAACCTACGAGCTCTCGTTTTCAGCAGTGGTGTGCATCGGTCAACCACCGATGGAGATCCCTCACAGGTGGAGATCCCTCGGCAGCCGATCGTCAGTACTGAGATGGCACCCTTGAGCGACAACATCTCCTGAGCAGGGTGCAGTGAATCAGCGTAACACGGGTGACCCAAATCGATAGAGACACATGCGAACGACCACGGTACTAGGGAAGATCATTTTTCCATTGCGAGAGTTGGGCTGCAATGTATATAGTATAGATCCTTATACGTACATACATACATACATATATATATATACTGTATATATATATATATGAATTATGAATTTAATTGATTTTATTGTTATATATATATATATATTTTTGACGGCACCATGCCCCTCGGTGCCGGTCAGCCAGTGTGGGTGCCTCGGCCTGCACCATGGCCCTTGGATGGAATGGATAGCAATCTTGACATGACCCAAAAACGACGCACGAAATGAATCATTTTGACAAAACACGGACACGTTGCAGTATATTTTTTTGCAACATATGTTTCTCCCCACACTGCGGAGAAACATGGTGTTCAGCAGGTGAATTTCTGTGCCTGACTGGATGAGAAATAAAGACCCCCTTGATGTTCTTGATCGACACTGCACCCTGGGGGAGAGCGACGGTTTATGGCTCCCAACGAATGGAGTCAAATTTGTGAATGCTCAAGGACCTAAGGAAGACACATTGGCGATCAATTTATCCTGGCTTTTCAAGAGCAATTCAACTTTGTTTCTTGCCCCCGCGCTTGTAGTGTGCTGTTGTGTAGCTCAATGATCATCCAGTGACGTGCTTGATGTTCCGCGCGTGGAATGGTGTCGCAAAATCGGCCAATGAATTACCCACGTTGGCACAGCCTTGAGCCAACGAGATTTGTGTATACTGTATACTTGCAAAGATCTCCAAGCGGGCCTTTGTCCGCTCGCACACTCTCACCTTCAACACCTACGGCGAAAGGACTGCACTGGAGGGTCCCACCGTGTGGGCGGTGCTTAGCAAGGGGCCCAGGCCCAAGAAAGAATTGATTCAGGGGTTCAATGATCGTCCTGGGAAACCCAGCGGAGGTCTTTCCCACTCGACTGAATGACCAGAAACAGGGGTGGAAGGGAAGCGACAAATGCCATAAACTGTCTTTCTCAAACTTACTGATGAGTTTGGAGTGTAACGACCAGCGCGAAGCCCATGTTGAAACCGGCAATGAACCAACACCATCCCTTGTCATTTTGACATTGATTGAATCAGCCATGCAGTGCATGGGCAATGTGAAGGATTCGAGCCTTAGCCGACCATTTACCTGTTCCTGTGGTTGTCGTTGTCATTGTTGCTGTGGTTCTAAGATTCCAGGGTTTGTTTGGAGTTTGGGGCTTTCTATTTTTGCCCAAAACTGGCAAGTCCTTTTGCTGCAGGTCTCCTCAAACAAGTCGGATGATGCTGACAAGGCGGGCCAAAGCGTGCGGGAACAGAGGAACAGTTCTTGTGTCCATAAAGGAAATAGGTGTGGGTCAAGTCCAGAAGCACCCAGCTGACCTAGCTCTCTAGTGCTGCTACCCTGCGAAGCAGTTGGATAACACTCGATTGACTTGGTCACTCGATCCCTTGGTCCCTTTCAAGTGGTACATTCCTTGCTTTTTGCAATCAAACCACAACTCCGCCCTGGAACCACGTGGTGACCGGTGGTGACTTCCGCGGCCCGACCGCATTCCGACCACGCGTCCCTTTCGACCTGAGGCCACGCGTTCGATCGAGCTGCTGCCGGAAGCGGCCAGACAACCTGGCTGGAAAAAGTCCGGCCACCGTCGGGCGCGGGAGCCCAGTCAAAACCCCAGCCCCGTGAGGCGTGCGACCGAAGTGGGGTGCGGCAGAAGTACCAGCACTTGGCGCCCATGCGAGTTTCGCATCGACACGTGTTGGCAGACTCTGGCGCGCTTGCCACCCGGAAGACTTGCACATTTGAGGTGTGGACCCTGGATACGTCAGCCACCTTGACGAAAGACGTGGTCCCTGTGGGCATCGGCTTCTCGAACGGGGAGTTGGTTGAGGCCCTCCGTCTCGAAGACTCGAGGGGTTTCTCGATGGAGAACCCAGAATCTAAGGTCGGTCGGACCATGTCAGAGCATGAAAAAGAGCCCCATATCTTCCGATGGAAATGAACAACGAGCAAGTTAGTGACTTGGGGGGTCGCAAGTGACTGGGCTCACTTTCTTTTTTTTTTGCCGCTTGGATCTTGCATAGAACATCATAGGGTCTCCATATCGACCCTTCTCTAAAACCCATGACACGTTCTGCGTGACACTCTGGGCCGTCCGGAGCCGTGGGAATGCCACGGTGCCAGGAGAAGGCGTAACGAGACCGGTCGTGGGAATGCCACGAGCCAGACGAGTCGCCCGGGCCTCACCAGTCGGATGAGTCGAGTCGGGGATGCGTCGAAGGATGACATCAACACTGTGGTTAGCTGCAGATCATCAGGGTTTGTATGCGTTGGAGAGTACAATACTGTATGACTGTATGCTTTACGCAGCCATGTTATGCCATCTTATATCATGCATGTTATACTATGATACACAAATACACGCATGTCACACATATGTGTATATATATATATTATATTTTTTTTCACATAATGCTGTAAGTAGATCCTATATATAGTTCTTTGTGAGGTGCAATGTAAATGGCAGGTTTCGAGGGGCATTGATACCACTTAGATATCGCTGATATTGCTTGGCTTTCGTCATGTTGGGCCTCTGATGAAGTGACCATTTGTCTTCGATGGATCGCTTATGAGCCGTCATCGTTGATTGTTGGATGGGGGCAACTCGATTTGCACCTGACCTGTCGGTATGGCTCCAGCCGGGTTGACCCAGTTTCACGTGATCACGACCATCCACGCAGCAAAAGGAGCAGTCAGGGAGCCTGGTACACGTACATACACGTACACAACCATGTTCACTTACATGTTACCTTTTCACATGCTCTAGGAACCTAACCAGGTTTCGAGTTGGTAGCGGAGCCCCTGTGTTGGTTCGGGGCGATGATGCTGCCTTTCGTCGCAGCCATGGTCTTGTGCGCCGTGCTTCGCGCCGGCGATGGCCCGCATGGCCAGGCTTTCGTTGCCGGTGACGCCCGTCACCATTCGCATGCAGGTGGTTTCCAACACCACCCTTCGGTAGGCCATGCCGTTCGCTTCGGTTCGTGTCCTTGTCTTTCTGTCCCGTTTTCGCCACACGTCCCGGCTAGCGCATCGTGTCCAGGCGATGCCCCCGGAGACGATTCGGTCTGTCCATGTCTTTTGTCCCTTCCGCATTCGCATTCGGTCAGTCTCTGTCTTCCGTGCACCGCCACGACAACCATCCTGACGCCAGTCAGTGATGACAGGATTTGTCCATGTCTTTTCGTGCCGATCGCCAACACCTCCAATACCACATCCATCGATGCCACAAGAACTACCAATTCCACATTCACCACAACAACCATTCGCAACGCCTTTCGCCATGTCCACATGATTGCCGCTCAGGCCACCAACGCAAGCAGTTCGATAGCTTTGATGACGGCCGCCGCCGTGACTCATTCGCTACAGCTGCACAAGGAATGCATCATGTGCCCAGAACTTCAACGGCTGTTTGCAGTCGCCGCCATGATCACTGCCATCCATGCCTTCTCCAGCAAGGCTACACCAAGGGTGCAGGTGACAGTTGGCCGCGTTCGATACAGCCGCCGAGTTCGTGCAGACTTCAAGAATGCAAGCATTGGCCATAGCCGTGTTGTGTTTGCCATGCTGTTGTTCGCACAAGAGGTACAAGCATTCGCAGGTCCTGAGGTTGGCAGGGCAGTTGCAACAGTGTCGGAACCACCGACCATGTCTGGCACTGAGGTGACACAGGCCATAACTAGGTCAGTGCAGGAGCCCGCAAGTGAAGCCAAGGGAGTCAGTGGCGCACCAACCCAAGCAGTGCCCACTGCATATAGCAGATTCGTCCGTGCCATAATGATGATCATCCCATCGGCCATTGTGTGCATCATTCTGCTCATGTATCCCGGCAATGTAGCACAATCCATGCGGATGCCTCCTGTGTATGACCCGAATGATCACACCCAGTCCTTTCGAGCTTGGAGCCAAGACTTGATGCTTTGGACCATCTCTAATGAACTGCAGCCACACCAGCAGGCTGCAATGGTGGTAGCACAATTGCGTGGCCCCGCACGAGAGATGGCCAGGAGCATCACGCCTCAAGAGCTGTACCACGGAGGAATGTACAACGGAGTTCACCTGGACCCCGTTTCATACATCCTTCAAGGACCGGCATCCAGATTTGCACCGCTCAACGATGAAACCCGCCTCAGGGCGGCGCAAGAGTTGCTCTCGTTCCATCGACGATCGCACGAGTCGATTGATGGGCTCATAACTCGATTCGAGATTGTTCGTAGCCGAGCTAGACAGGAAGGAGGAGGTGCCACAGTGTCAACCGAGACCGCCGCACTCCTTCTGCTTCGTGTATGCAATTGCAACCCGGAGCAATTCCAGTCCTTGACGCAACCCTTCGGCTACAGACTCCCGAACACAGACGATGAGTTCACCAGACTTTGTGCCCACATCCGTCGGTTAGGTCACATCGCAGAGCGCCAGCCACTGAACATTGCCAGCACACTCCGACAGGGCCAAGGCCAGACTCAGCATTTCCATGTCAATGATGCTGAGCAGTTCGGAGCATCAAGCCAAGATGCATGGCAATCAGGCTGGGAAGCATCAGGTGAGGCAGGCTGGAATCATGCACCTGGTTCATGGAACACACCAGATTCCACCAATGCATGGGCATACCCTGTCACTGAGGGCAACAACAGTGACACCGATTCGGCCACGTCGTCCGACTCAGGCGGTCAGTTGGATACCTCCGACTTTGCCCACATGCCAGAACACGAAGCCGATCAATACCTCTTTGGCGAGTACCAGCACGCCAAGAAGAGATGGAGACGCTTCTCAGGCAAGCCTGTTCGTGCCCTTCGCAGAGTGCTCAGAAGGAAAGGGAAAGGTAAAGGTAAGAGTAAGTCGAAGCAGCACAACTCCTACTTGAACATCCCCGAAATCCTAGAGTACTACTACAAGGGCAAGGGTAAGGGCAAGCCCACTTCAGGTAAGGGTTTTGGCCGGAGGATCAACCCCAAAGATAGGCAGGGCCAGATCATGCGTTGCTCAATCTGCGGTTCGATGTACCATCTTCGCGCCCGATGCAATCAGAGTGCACCGCAAGGCCAAGGTCAGTCAAGTTCAGGTCAGATCCATCAGGCTGGTGATAGACACCTGTTCGCTCAGGAGGGCTCAGTGCACTTCGCAACCTTCGAGCAGGCTTCTGCCGCCAGTGGCCCACCAAGTGAAGCCGACAATGCAAGTTGGTCCAATGTTGAGCCAAGTGCACCTCCGCAGCAGTCAGGTGATACAACCAGTGCAAGCTGGACCAATGTCACTGGCCCTGGAACTGAGACACCACGGCCTACACAAGCTGCTGAGCAAGCCACGCCGATTTCCCTCAGGTCCACCAGCTGACACCAGATCAGCAGAACGATCCTTGGAATGATGGCCAAGATCCATGGTCGCAAGGATATCATGAGTGGTCGCAAGATGCAGTGTGGCAGCCACAGCCAATGCAAGTTGGCGATCCATGGATGCAGTGGCACATCGACAGTCGGCAGATGCAACATGCACAGTCGCAGCAGTTCAATATGGTCAACGCAGCCCTCAATGCCAATTCGTGGTTCATGCCATATGACCAGAACAGGCCGGCTGCCCAGTATGAACAAGTTCAACTGCCGATCATACCACAGGTGAGCGCCATCCAAGAAGCTGTTCGCGCCGCAGAAATGCAGCAGAGTGCCACAAGCAATGCACGTGAGCCATCGAGCAGTTCGTCGCAGCCACCAGTATGGTTTCAACAACCTGTTAGGACTTCGATGCCTCAAGCACCACAAACTCCCGAGCAAGTTGCAGTAGCTACAGCCTCGGAAGTGGTGTCCATCTTCGCCGAAGTGCATGCTGCAAGGTTCGCACAAGCTGAGAGGTCACGACCGCAGTCACGACCTCGGAATGAAGTTCGTCCGTTCAGCAACCAGTGCACCATATGCCAGCAGACCTTCAACCAAGGCGAAGAGATTTTGAGGATTGAATGCGGTCACATGTTCCATAGCATATGCTTCAGTGAGATGATGCAGCACTCCGAATCCGAGGGCAATGCCGTGCAATGCCCGAACTGCCGTTCGGATGCAATAGTTGTGAGCACATGGATGTATGCAATCCCAGCCGCAAGATCCGAAGTGCCCACCGAACCTCCAGCAACGCCATCACAATCACGTGCACCACTGGACCTCCCCACAGAGGAGGAGACTGCCGACAGGCTGGCATCAGGGCGCAGCGGAAGAATCGTATGCATGGTGGCCAGTGCCACAACCAACGCGCAAGCAAGAGAGCTTTCATGCAGCAGCCCTAACAGAAGGCTGCGGACTCCTTGTTGATCCTGGCTCGTATGGAAACCTTGTAGGTTCAGAATGGTTGGAGCAGGCCAAGACATATCTAAGGAGATCCTTCGTTTCGGTCGCAACAGTCCACTACATGTTGGAGGGGTAGGGAAAGGCAGTCAGACCTGCATCAACGACTGCATGTTCCCGTTGGCCCTTGAGCGATCAGACGGAACCATGCATGAAGGCACCTTCACAAGCCCAATTGTGGAGCAGAGTCACACTCCTGCACTCTTGGGATTGCGCAGCCTGATGAGGCACAATGCCATCCTCGATCTAGGTAAGAAGATGATGCACCTGATCCCGGACGATCGTGAAGCGGAATATGAACTTCCCGAAGGCACAGAATCCTATCCGCTAAAGCAGGCACCATCAGGCCATCTCCTTCTCCCATTCACTGATTTCAAGAAATGGGAAAAGAGAAGGTTCGAGAAGATGAACGTCAAGATGATCCACCTCTTCACGGATGATGAGCCGAGGACCGTGAGTCCTCAGCCAGCGGATCAGGACTGCAACGCGACACGGATGTCCCCATGGAGGATGTCGCAGCAGCACCATCAGCCGGTCCAACCAAGATGGAAGTCGATTCGACACCTGCCGCCAAAGCGCCAGAGCCCGCCACAGAGCCTCCAGCTGAGGCCACTCGCACAGCGGAAGAGAGCAGCCATCACGCCGCTGAGTCCAAACCACCGACTGCAGCACGTGACGATGTGCCTCAGTTCTTACCGCCATCCCGCAAACTTCATGGAGCACCTCAAGCCGCAAGGGCTGCTGCTGGAGTCGAGTACGGTCCAGTGAGAAGGCGACAAGAGCGTCCAGAAGAGATGGAAGAAGTGGAGGTGGATGAGGAGTCAGGCGAATCGAGGAGGGTGCGACAGTTCAAGCTGACTGAAGCGGGAGTTGCAGCTGCCGCCAAAGCAGTACCGAAGTCACCTCCAGATTCACCGACAGAGCCAGACAATGTGCCTCAGCCAAAGACACCACCCGGACCTCCACCTCATCTCCAGGCCGCACCGCGAGAAGCAGCGCCAAAGGCCAAGAGAAGGCAAGTGCCGAATCCAAAAGGGCCTCCACCAAAGAGAACGCCACCTCAGCCGCCACAGTCCACGCGTACTGTCATCCTGAGGTCTGAAGCTGACGTCAATGAGGCCAAGGCAAAAGGCACAACAAGTTCCAAGGCACCATCAGAAAAGGCCAAAGCGCCTGCGCGACAACCGCCACCACCACCAGCACCAAAGAGGCGATCGACAAGCGAGGCTGCCAAGGCCAGCGGATCGTCCGCGTCGGGACCGCGGATGGTCGAGTGACGGCCAGCAAGCGAGAGCAATGGCCCACTCTCGCTGCTATACCTCGCAAGGGCCAGCAACCACGCAAAGTCTGCAGTGTTGGCCATTTCCAATCACAGCAGCGCCGTTCGTGCATGCCAAAGACTTGAACTCCAGGCCATCCGCATTCGGCCTATCGAGATCACTAGAAGTCTTGAATTCGATAGAGTCCTTGAAGACATCAAGCAACAGCACTACGCCTTAGTCTGGATTGACCTCCAAATGCCAAAGATCTTTTGTGGCCTGCCAAGGTATGCAGAGGTCATGGCACGGATCCAAACGGTGGTCATGACGGCCCGGCGAAATTCTGTTGATGTATTCTTGGCAAGCAACCGGCATGATGCCGAAGGTACAGCACCTTGTTCAGTCCTGTGGCTTAGTTGAATCCTGCCACAGATGGTGCGCCCTAGGCATCAGTGCTTCAGCGTCGGCAGCAAAGAGTGCAGCAGTTCACCGAATTGCCAGCTTGCCTGGTGTAAAAGACACACCTTGTACCTGTCCAGAGAACACCACACACATAAATGAGCTAGCACTGGACAGAGAGACAACCTCGCACCGTAGAGGTCTTGCTGAGGAGCAGTTCGTTGAACACATTCTCACCACCGCTCTATCCTGGGCACCAGCTGAGCCTGGGGTAGAGTCGAAGAACCCAGCCGACTCAGTTCCCGAAGCTGAATTAGAGTTTCCTGTGCATGTCTCAGAGACCATCCCGTCTCTGCAGGATACTGTTTGCTGCATCACATGTCCAGAATGTAACTTACTCATGCCTCAAGCCGCGTATCACTGTCTCCTTTGTGAGACAGAGTTGACTCATGACCCCCAAGAGGCATCAAACATAGAAGCTGCTTTCCCCACAGAAGAAAGACTTGCAGCAGCCGAAAGAAAGAAGAAAGGACATATCCCCGTTAAGCGCCGCAAGATCATCGAACAGCACTTTGATGACTGCGGAGACAACCTGGCACCTCTAGTCTTGAAGCCCGAATTGAGTTGTTTCGAAGGCATCTCATCGGAAGATGAGTCAGATGTGGAAGTGCCAGTAGGTCTCAGCCAATCATTGTCCTGTTGGATTGGCAACGGCAGCCAAACTGCCGAGTCTCCAGAGCTCACGGGGCAGTCCTATCTAGCCTGCGACATAGACGAAATGTTGAGCACTTTAGAAAAGCACCCAGGCACTCCTTGGCCATGGGGAGTTGAGATTGTCGAGATATGCGGTGGCCGCGGCTTGACCAGTTGGTTTGTGGTGAAACGCCGATTGCGCAGCGGCCACAACTTCGACATCATCGCAGGCACAGATTTGACCAACCCATATACAGTAAGGAAAGTACTTGAATATATCAAGATGGTTAGACCACTGGTAGTTGTAATGGCCCCAGTGTGTACACCATACTCTCCACTCGGCCGCATGAATCAAATCATCAACCAAGATGCTTGGCGCCGATCATTAAGAATTGCTGAACCGATCGCCAAGCTGTGTGGAGAGATCGCACTCATCCAGTTGGGTGGAAGTCGGCACTACCTGGTGGAACAGCCCACAGGCTCGACCTTGTTCAAAGTGGCACCGTGGCCAACAGTAGTTCGCGACCGCCGATCACTGTCCATAGCCTTTGACCAATGTCAAGTAGGCCAAAGTGCAGGCGGCTACCCAGCCAAGAAGTCCACTGAGCTGGTAGCAAGTTCGCAAGAACTGTTAAAGCCATTCGTAGGTCGCACATGTCCTGGCATCCACCAGCACCAAGTATTAACAGGTAGAGCCGCATCCCAAGCACAAAAATGGCCGAAAGAAATGTGTTGCATTCGGGATCGAACAGCTGGTTCGAGCAGAACTTCGAAAGATGAAGAAGGAGCAGGCCTATCCCACAGTGGCCACCGACACTTCCGACCCAAAAGGTGACCCAGTGGAAGAAAGCCCTTGGAGGAAGTGCAAAGGATGCCTGTGGCGCCTTCAGAAGTTCGACTCTCGACACTCTCGAATCCCGGGAGAATGCAAGCATCCTGATGTAGAGGCCATCGAGTTCAAATGCCCAGGCTGCATGAAAGGTCTTCCACGCTCAAATGAGCTTCATGACTACGGTCCGGACTGTCGTCACGCCCTGACGACTGGACGAACCGGAACTCGACGAAGGCCGTTCTCAAGAGTCCCAGCTGAGGAAGAACCCACTTCCAAGCTAAAAGCTTCAGAGCTGGGCAAGGCCGATGAGGCCTCAGCAGCCGCAGCCGATGCGGCAGAGCCGGCAAGCAGTTCAGCAGCAGCTGCAGGGCAACCAAGTGCTCTGCCTGATGAGCACGCCCCTGGAGATTCGCTAGAAGAACCGATTCCAGCAATAGAGGATGCACCCCGAGCTGGCAGAGGCCCAGACCTCGAGCAAAGGATCCGAAGAACATTCGATGAAGGTGAAACCCAAACACCAGTTCCAAACGACTGGTCATCATTCGACGTCGGATCTTCATTGCGTGGAATCAAGTTCTCGTCAGAAGACGGCCAACGGCGAATTCTGCGGAAGCTGCATGTGCGATGGTGGCACATCTCGGCGCACCGCATGAAGGCGGTGTTGCACAAGGCCGGCATCCCTAAGGCAACTCTCGACTTGATAGACGGCATAGTTGATACCTGCAGAATCTGCCGTCTCTGGACTCGACCGATTGCCGACACCGTCGCAAGCTCGCGCATTGTGACAGGCTTCAATGTTGAGGTAGAAGGTGACTTGGTGTTTTATCGCTACGACAAGATGCACACCATTTTGCACATGGTCGATAGAGGCACAAGGTGGGCTGCCGCCTACCTTCTGCAGGACAAGACGACCAGTCAGATCCTGCAAGGATTCGACCAGTGGCTGAGCACCTTCGGACCACCACAGGTCCTGATCTTTGACGGCGAGCAAGGCCTCAAGGACGACGAAGCCAGGATGTACTTTGAAATCAAAGGCATCACCAAGCGCGAAGCTGCAGTTGGCCAACACACCCGCATTGTGGATCGGAGGACCCAAGTTCTCCGGGACACAATGCACAAAATACAGTCGCAGATGAGCGAAGAGGGGTTAAGAGTACCAATAACTAGAATCCTCTCTGAAGCAGTCTATGCGACCAACGCCTTGACTACAGTGAACGGCTACTCGCCATTCACGGCAGTGCTAGGTAGAGTTCCTCCCATCATGCCTGATGCAATAGCAGTATCAGACGATTCAGCCGGTGCACCAAGCTCAGCCCACACACACCGTTCGCGTGAGATTGCCATTCAGGCCATCGTGGAAGGAACAGCTCGAGAACGCATGAAGCGTGCGCTGCATACACCGACCAGGGTGTCCGGTGAGGAACTTGAGCTAAAAGTTGGAGAAGCTGTGGAGTACTTCCGCCCACCGGAAGGAAAGGAATCTTCAGGATGGAGAGGCCCAGCGACTGTCGTCGACCTGACCAGCAGGCTTGAGCATGGCAGGATCGGCATTCGAACACGGGCAGACAATGTGATCACCTGCCGCGTCCAAGATGTCCGCAGGTGCTTAGCATACTGGGCCAGTCCGTCCATCATTAATAAGAACTCCAACCATGCACAGCAGATCGCTCAAGAAGCCATAGACCAATTTAAGAAAGGCACTGTCATTACATTGGGCCAAATCCGTAACCAAAAGGGTGAATGGTGCATGTCCAATACCACCAAGCAACATCAAGGTCTCTTTGCCGCCATCATGCATGTTGCAAAGAACGTGTTTAACATCACTAACATAGTGGCAGCAAGATGTGGTCTAGGAGTCAAGCAGATCCCAGCAAAAGAAGAATACACTGGATCGCTGACGATCCATTGGACCGCGCCAGGAACTAAAGCATTGCAGTTTTTCCAAAGCCAGAGCACCAATGTTTCGTTCTCAGGTCTCGCAGGAAGCGAGTGGGTGAACACCCGGTTCATCCAATGCTTGCAGGCGCCTGACACAGAAGAATGGCTCATTGGGAGCCACAGAGGCCATGCCGATGTCGCTGCCATGGACGTCGACACCAACGACTCCACATCCAACACCACTCCAAGAAGTATGAGTGTTGGAGGCCCACTGAGCACAATCCCTGAAGGGAGCAACGAAGGAGGCTCAGAAGATGCACTTGTGAGCTTCCAAGAGTTGAACCAAGTCTTCGGCGTCCAAGACAGCCATCCAGCCATCCAAGAACTCGCAGAAGCATTCGTATGCTTCAATGAGCATAAGGATACCCAAGAGCTGCCCGACTTGGAGGCATCCAAGACCAATCTCGCCAGCCTTCAAGCAGCCGCAGAAGCTGATGTTCCAGAATGGTATGAAGTAGAAGCCGAAACGCAAAAGAGTTTCCTTGCTGAGGAAGCATTCGCAGACAGCCTACAAGATGCACTTCGTGACTCGAACCCCAGTATTGATGAAGATGAACGAGGTTCATATGTTGCCCTTGAAGCTTACGGCAACATGTGCAAGGTCATCGAAGGTTTGCCTAGGCTGCCAGGCCCACATGAACATGTTGAGCTGCGCATCTATCAAACCCACACTCGTAAGGCAGTGATTGATCGTAGTGATGATCTCCTCACCAAAGAGGAAGAAGTAACCCATGCGCCAGAACTTGTCCAAGCTATCCTTGATGAGCTAAAGGTATGGCAAGGCTACCAATGCTTTGAGCGCCAGCCAAGGCATCAAGCTCATAATGTGATAGATGTTAAGTGGGTATATAAGTGGAAGATTAAAGGTGGTAAGAGGTTCATCAGAGCAAGGCTATGCATTCGAGGCTTTAAGGACACAGGAGCAGACGATGACGTGAATACATCACCAACAGCCACCAGGCTGAGCCAGCGCCTCCTTGTGTCTGAAACGGTGGTTCGTGGTTGGATCCTGGGATCCACCGACATCCCAAAAGCCTTCTTGCAGGGAGTCACTTATGCCGAATTGGCACAAGAGACAGGACGTCCAGAACGCCAAGTCAGCTTTGAACTGTGTGGCCAGCCAGTGTTCTGTCTAAGACAGCTGCCAGGCTTCGAGAACTTCAATCCTGCCAATGAGGTGCTTAGATGCACAAAGCCAGGCACCGGATGCAGGGATGCTCCACGTGCTTGGAGCATGAAGTTGAGAAAGGCCACGGCAAAGTATGGATTGAAATCCACACTGATGGACAGTGAGCTTGAGTACTTGTTGGACTCCAATGGCAAGATATGCCTTCTGCTGCTGAAGCACGTAGACGATCTTAAGATCGCAGGCCCAAAGAAGCTCGTGCTAGAACTAGTGGAGTATCTCTCCAAAGCATTTGGCAAACTCGATCTAGAGTTTGAGAACTTCACATTCTGTGGCATCCGCCACCAGCAAACCGCAGAGGCCATTACCTTGGATCAAACCTCCTTCATTGCAGCCATCAAAGAGATGACTGTGACACCAATGTCAATGAAGGAAGAGTACTTGGCAGAAGATGTCCGCAGACAGTTTTTAAGTCTTTTGATGACTGTGGCATATGCCCTGCTGACGCGCCTTGACATTGCAGTCTACGTCACTGCATTGCAAAGGATCAGCCATATTGCACAACCTATCCACGTGAAGAGATTAAATCACCTTGTGCGATGGATGAAGCAAAATCCTCGCAAGCTGGTCTACCGAAAGATGGAGTACCCAACCAGCTTGGTGGTCTACAGTGATTCTGGTTTTCAGGCAAAATCAGATTCAGGCCTTAGTGTTCGCGGAATGCTTGCAGTAAGGATGACCACGTCAGATGTCAACCAGCTCTACAAAGGAGCGAGTACTCCAGTGGATCTCAAATGCCATGTGATTGAGTGCGCATCAAAATCACAGCGCCATGTCACAAGATCCACCTTCGCTTCAGAACTGTTTGCCTCGACAGATGCAGTGGATGCCACTACCCTCACCAGACTGGCACTCCATGAGCTGCATCAAAACAGTTTGAGCGAGAGTGAAGCTCGCAATATCTTGACAGGTGACACACGGTCTCCAATAGACCTGCACATCGTACTGGACGCGATGAGTGTCACCTCGGCCATCGTGGCACCAACCCTGAAGGTGCCGGCCGAGAACAGCCTTGTGGTCCATCTCAGATGGTATCGCCAACAGCTTCAGAGAGGCATCTTGAAATTGGCTTGGGCAGATACCAGAGACATGATCGCCGACGGCATGACAAAGGGCTCAGTGTCGAGAGAAGCCCTTGAGAAAGCGATGGAAGGATTCATCGCATGCCATCGGCAGTTCAAGGCCCAACAACTCGCGTGAGTTGAAGCAGCTCCCAAAAGTTGCGACAGCTGACCCGAGTTGGAGCACAAGTCCTCAGGAGTGAAACATATCTCTTGAGCACCAGACGGAAGATCTTGCGCGTGCACTTGCACACTGCAGCAGCCGCTGCAATAAGCCTTCGCGCCGTTCGTAGGACTTCCTCTCACCCGGTTCCTTGGAGATCAACTGCTGCCACCAGTTTTCAGTACACTTTGAATCAAAGGTAACCCATGTGAACCCCAAAGAGTACAACTTTAGAGATACTGAGGCAGCTACTGATCTCCAACAAAGAACCCAGCCGACTCGATTTGCACCTGACCTGTCGATATGGCTCCAGCCGGGTTGACCCAGTTTCACGTGATCACGACCATCCACGCAGCAAAAGGAGCAGTCAGGGAGCCTGGTACACGTACATACACGTACACAACCATGTTCACTTACATGTTACCTTTTCACATGCTCTAGGAACCTAACCAGGTTTCGAGTGGGCATATCTTGAGTGGTAGGTATGCGTCAAGGAGCAGGGATGTCTCACTTTTGGTTTTCAGCCAATCAGCAAAAAGACATGTGCTGCCTAATGAGAACAAAATTGATGTTGTTTACTGCGGCTTTGCATCGTGTGCCTCTACAGCTGGATGATTCGAACAAAAAGACAAACACAGACACACAGACACACACACACACACGAACACCCAGCAGCTAGACCGTGGGCCCTGCAGCATCATAGAACGAAAGTGGGCCCTGCAGCATCAGGGTGTGAGACCATCCTGTGCTTCTCCAATTTGGGTGTTGAAGCCTCAGTACGGTCAAACGACATTTCAGGTTTATCCTGCGAGATCCTACGACGGTGCGGGACCTCAATCTTGATTTGGAGTTTGCAGACCGGCCGTGAAGAAAGAGCTCTGACAGAGAGTCATAGGAAAAGATATCAGGGTACTTCTAGACCGAAACGACAAAGCAGGGGGAAACAAGAGAGTTCAGTAGTGCTTGGTCCGGTGGGCCGTGAGCAGATGTGAGCTCTTGCCTTCTGGATATACTCGTGCCTTGTGGGTTTACAACACGCCCCACGGGTTGTGAGGCTTCGAAGTTGGGAGAAATCATCGATCGGTCAGAGGGTCCGCCGCCGAACCTGGGCCGATCGAGGTTCGTTTGGAAGGGTTCGGCCAAAAAATCTGCCACAAAGCATGGGATTTTCATGATCCTTTTTTTTTTTTCAGTCTTTGCGGTCTTTCAACTTCAAAAGGGAGCACTTCAGCATCCAACTAGGCCTTACCACCAAGTATCACCCCCAAAAGCAGTGGATAGGAAGCTCGTGGAATAAGTAGGTTTCATCCCACATCAATAGGACTGGAATAGTCATGAATAGTCACATTAGGATCAAACATGGGGTACATGACATATATGCAACATTATGCAACTATTCCATCCAACGTTCGGCCATACATGGATGGTCTGTTCTCGGCTTCCCACATCTCGAGTCACGACGTTCGGCCTTCACTGCGAGGCTTAGCCGCCGGTGGGAGCCTGTAGGAGCAGTTTAAGTTCCCGCCGTAGCTGGATTCAGTGGCTTGTTTAGAACAAGCTGCAGAATCTTGGACGGGAGACTACTGGTAGTACAGAGGATGCGTCAAGAAGGTGTGATCTGATACATACACATACATATACATATAGTTATATCATAATATATCATAGTATTTTGTTTAACTATCGCGCATAAGAACACTATAATTCATAATGACAGGCGCAAGGCCCAACTTCAAGTGTTTTAAACTACGCTGTCTTTCAGCTCCGAACGCAATCTTTTCAGCTGATGCCGCTCGTGATCAGCTGCCGTGCGAAGATGCCGCAGATGATGTCTGCGTCGAGCTAACCCGCGGGCGGTGGCACGGGCGCTGTAGCTAAGCCAATGACAGAGCAGGAGGGTTGCTTCACTGACAGAACAAAAAAAGGAGCTTACAGGATCAGAGTCGAGTCTGAGCTGCATTTGCAGTAATCAAATCTTCTTGACCTTTCACCAATGATGAATCCCTTTACATAGAGAGATGGCTTATGATTTGTGAACCTCAGGTCTGAATCATCACGGACCACGGGAGGTCTCAAGCGACTTCGCATGCCCGGGTAGTAGACCTGGGTCTATCCGGGGTCGGACGGGATGGCAAGCTTTCTTGTTATGCCAAGGAGTTTTTGTAGACGTGACATGAGCCTCTTTTTTGTTTCTTTGGCATGGAACCGGGCTTTTTACACGGGTGACAAGTGAATCAGTGTTCAAGTGGATCTGTGGTTGGGGACAAGTGCAATCCTGGAGTTGCAAGACTTCTCTTGATCCGCCTTTGGTACAACTGAATGCCTGTTGTGACACGAAACCTATGAATGCCTAAACCTTCGGCTGTTGGCTCGTAAGCGAAGATGCCCAGAAGATCCTTGTTTTACAGACAAGTTCACTGAACCAAGGACCTACCCTTCAAACGTCGCAGATCCCCCAAAAACCTGCAGATCCGGTTCCGACCGTCAAACTCCAAGTCAATGTGACCCATGGCAAAGGCGTCAAGTCAAGTCGCCATGAGCAACTAGGGGGATGTTCCCCAGGAGAAGATCAAGTTGTTGACTCTCAGCAAACAAAAACGATCTGCAGCAATGATTTTTGGTCACTTCTTTGCTGGACTTCTATCCAAACATGGTTAGGTGACTTCTACGGCCACTGCTTTGACAGGGTTTCACAGTATGGCTGGCCAGTCTACAGGAGGCACCGAACTCTCTCTCTCTCTCTCCCCCTTTCGCTCTTTGTGAGCCAGACACATGGAAGTGGAACAAGCACAGTTTGGAAAGACAAACTATTTTGGCTGGCTCTTGTTCGCTTGGAGGGTAGGTCTTGTGAACCACTGCATTGTTTGTCCACATCGACGCGGGCCTCATACAGTGGGGGCTCCTTCATGGGTCAACTGATGGATCAGAAGGGGCTGTGCTGCAGCTCGAGGGTGGATGAGCATCCTGTTGAAGTGCGATTTCGTGTGCAAATCTATTGACCTCTTTGGTGTGAATTTCTTCAGACTAAGCCACATAAGCCACCAACTATAGTGTCAAGAACCAACAAAACAGACGCATCAACATCCCCCATTCCCGGACCTCGTGAACGCATGGGGAAAGAACACCCAGAGCCCCTTCCTGTTGACCTCGCCCTGAGATCGCATCGCAACGCAGGTCGTCGTGGCGATCCCGATGGTCGTGGCTGGGCGGTGTGTAACGACCCACTGCGACGAACACATCCAGAAGTGGATGGCCACCTTCCTTCGCAGAAAAGGCGGAGGCCATGGCTGATTTCGGACAGGAGTGCCATCCACTTGCTTGTGATGTGTTCGGAAACGGAGTGTTCGATTCGGACATCGGGTGGACATTTGGACAGGCACCAGGTGGTTTTGACACGGAGTCCAATGCATTTTAGTGGGGATCTACAGATTTCTAGGGTCTGTATTATATATAGTGTATAGGGTTCCTTTCAGAGTCGCTATTTTGGCAACCTTTTTCAAAGGATCACATGGTCAACGTTCCCGCGGATGTGCGGATTTTTGACATGGGGGGGGTCCACTTGTTTGGGACACCCAGAATTTACTTGCAATTCCATAGACCATATACATATACCCGCTTGCCGGTCTAACCTGCCTCATGCAGAAAAACCCTGCAAGTACTCTTTGACTACATCTTCAGTTTCGATATTGATCCACCTTTCCATGTGCTAACGCACCAATTTCCATTCCAGGGGTGCTGCATGACTTCCAAATTGATGATTTGCGGGAACTGACCCCAAAAAAGGGAATTCCACAAAAAACTTCGCAGGCATCACCGAGCAAACCATGATATTTGTCTCCTGTCTTGGCCGTCCACGGTAGACCGCCTTGAATATCCTTGAATTAGGCGCGCGTGATCATTCACACTAATTTGTGTTTCAATGGAGATGCCGCGTGTACACAGTTTGCACAATGATATTTTCAGTCATTGTTATTCCGTAGCTGTTGGGTTCATACTCCTAAGCAAGGGGATGTGTATACGAAGGTGACGAACCTTCCGTTTCCCGCGTTGCGAGCCATATCGGTGGCCCCCCTCCGATCGGTGGTCCACCAGTCGGTCTCCCGTGTCCATAGCGTAAGGGACCTATCAACTATTTCCCACGACATGGGTAAAGGACTTTGGGCCTTCAGGTTTAGACTTCAGTGCTAGTTCCCTTTACCCGGAAGGCCTGAAGTCCTGAAGTCTAGGTGACAGCCTCCTCGGGCCCGAAGCTCAGGTCTGCTTGGCCTGCGGGGGCCCCGGCCCTCCATTCCGCTGCAGTGGATGCAGAGTTGCATGCTTCTGCAGCAAGGCAGACGAGCGAGTCGCGAGCGCGGTTTCGTGCGGACGCGGTTTGCGGGGGGGCGACGGGCTGGAGAAGGGCTCCTGCTCCGGGTTTTTGTTTGTTGTGGGACAATTCAGTGGTTGATGTTCAATGGAGAAGTGATGATTGCATACCTTCAGATTTTCATAGATTTTCAACCTTTTGCTTTGTGCTATATAGGTGATTCTAAACATTCTAAACATGCTTTCTTGGCCACTTAGCCAAGTGAAAAACTTTTTTGCAGCCAGCGGACCAGCCAGCTTCTTCCAGCTCACTTTGAGCTCCCCGTGGGCAGAGAGTGCCCATGGTTGGAGTGCCTGTCACATGCAACGAAACCACCTGTGCACACGTGATTCATAATTGATCAAATCACGACTCTGTCATCACCAGCCTAGGTTTCTGTTGAGTTTCTAACAATGTACCCTTCCTCCAGACTTGGAAACAGGACAGACTGACCAGAAGAGTTCGATCCTGCTCCACGGACCTCAGAACTTTTTACATAAAACGTGGTCGAAGAGAGGATCCTGGAAGTCTGGAGAGTTACCAACACCACTTCTTTACCAACACCACCTTCTCGTTTGATCCAAATATGACGACAGGTAGGAGGCACTGGGCATGGAGGACGACCCAGCGT